CTGCTCCTGCCGTTGTGTGTGCGCGCATGTTTGCTACCGCTGCCGTTTTGGCTCAAGCCGGCGCCCTCGCGCAGCATCCCGACGCGGCTGCCTCGCCAGCCATGGCGCCTTGCTCGCGCCGCCGCTGCTCGCCGGCGCCTCGCAGATTCCGCGCTGGCGCCCCAGCTGCGCCCACATCCCTCGGCAGTGGGCCCCGCAGGTCTGCAAGTCACGCGAAGAGGGGCATCGTGTGCCCCAGCTCCGAACAGCGTCTCTTCATAAGAGACTCTGCAAGGACCATGTCCTGCATCGCGCACGGCGGCCTGCGCGGGTTCTGGGGCAAGATGTTCCAGAACGGCCAGGATTGCCCGAACGCCTTCGGGTGTGAACCGATCGTGAAGATCTTACGTTCTACGGACATGAGTGACGATGACAAGCTCACGAACCTCATCAAGGAAGCAGCGGATCTCCTGCGTCTCTCCAAGAATACCACGGGTGATACTCGCTTTGAGCGCCGTTACCGCTCGGGGTGTACAACGGAGATCAACAAGTATCGCCCGAATCAGTTTTCACTACCGAATGGCCAATGGCATGCTCTTGAGTTGCACTACTTCACGAAGACTCAAGGAGCTGATGAGAGCAACGAACACGGGGGCACGATGACACCCGGGCCAAGAATGGGCGGGGGTGAGTTTACACCGCGTATGCAACCATGGTGCAAGACTCCGAACCTGCACCATGTACTAGGGGTCCAACCAGGACAAGCACTGACAAGCGAGTTCCGCGAAGTGCATTGTGTCATGCACACGGACAAGCTGGCAAGGCTGCCTGGCAAGGGGCTCGATGAAGTCGGATTGCTCGCGCAGATATTCAAGAAGCCGATCGATCGACCCACGGTGCACCTCCCGCCAGACATGTACAATGCCATCTGGAACTCTGCCAGTTCTGGCACCGTTCCCTGGGTGGGGGGATTGGAGCCTTTCATAAAGGGCAAACATCTCCCTGTCCTCCGAGGCAAGGTCTCAGTCTGGAAGGTTCCCCGTGCCATGTCGGACGATCGACAACTTGAGCGCCGTCGTTACGGCGCCCTGGTTGGATGCGAAAGCTCCCATGGAGTACCGCATGACCCGGCCATTCCTCACCCACGAGCAAAACGGAGCCTTGCTGTGGGCGTGGTTCCAGGAACCGACCGACAAGCACTACGTTGTGCTGGAAACAAAACACCCCGGGAGTTATTCCAGTGGTTCTTGGATCCGATCTGGGATCGCGTGGGCCAGTACAGGCCCAAGGGACCTCGCAGAAACATCGCCGACAGGTTCTACTCCATCCACGCCGCGCTCCCCGATCGTGTCGATTGGACTGGCGCTGCAGGTGATCCTGACCATGTTCAGCTAGGACCTGTTGCACGGATTCGCTATCCCACGAGGGAGAACGAGCCCCTCGTGGAGAGCGTGCTGGGCAAGAGGATGTTACTACACGATGTCGGACTGACGACCTCTTTCGAGGGAGCCACCTTTGACGACCTGGAGGCCGGCGTGAGCGAATTCCCGAGTTTCCCCGAAGCTCGGCACCCGCTCAATCGCCCCACATGGGAAGGCGACCCGTGGCCCTTCGTCGCATTGGAGGGCCGCCGGGCGTTACGCAGACAGGACTACCAGGTCGAGTGCGCGGACAGCCTTGTGCATTACGAGTGGCTGAAGCGCTCGGACTACGTGTCTCCTGACCGCGAGCAGCGCCGCCTACAGGGCCTTCCCGACTGTGCGTTCGACACGAGTCCCTTCTACGTTGTTCCGTCGGCGTACGTCGACCTTCGTCAGCAGCTGGGGCGCGATGACATGGCGGAGCGTGCTAACATAGCGCAGAAGGAAGCCCCCTCGGCAGCGTGCCATGCACCGCCCGGGGGCGGCCCTGCCTCGAGCCGCTGGAATCGCACATGAACGGAAGGCTCGGGACAGTCTTCGAGAGGACGACGGCGAGAGGACCTCCATCGCAGACGCCGAAGGCACCTCCTTGTGGCGTGCCGCCGCGGAAGGCTCCACCGAAGCCTCGGGCCCCTGGCGCTCCTCCGCCCCGTGCCGCCCACGGCGAAGGCCGCCCGTCGAAGCCGCGAGCTCCCGGGGCGCCTCCGCCGCGCAGTGACCGTGGCGAAGGTCGCCCGCCGAAGCCGCAGGCTCCCGGCGCACCTCCGCCGCGCCGCACACCTAGCGAAGGCCGCTCGCCGACGCCCCAGGGCACCAGCGCGCCTCCGCCCCACGCCGCCTATGGCGAGGGGCCGACGCCGAAGCCTCAGGCCCCCAGCGCGCCTCCGCCTCGCACTGCTTATGGCGAGGGGCCAACGCCGAAACCTCAGGCTCCCAGCGCGCCTCCGCCCTCCAACGCCCATGGCGAGGGTCGCGCCCCTAAGCCCCGGCCCCCGGGCACTGCCCCGCAATGCAAACCACCTCCTCAGGGCATGGCACCGCCCGGAGCGCCTCCGCGGCCGGCGCCGACCTCGACGGCTCCGCCCCCGCAGATGCCGCCGCGGAAGGGACCGCCTTCGAACGTGCCGACAGGGGGGCCTTTCCGTTATTTTCTGGGGTTCCTCGGCGTTCTTTGGGGCGCGTGATGCGGACCGCGGCTTGCTCGCGGGCCTCCCTGGGGCGCGCGGCCTCATGGCCCATGAGGCCACGCGCCCCCCATGAGTCATGGGGGGCGCCGCCGAAGGCCCCGGTGTCAGAGTTCACGCGCGCCCCCTGGCAAATTTGGGCACGCGCGCGCATGACGCGGTTCACGGCCTCATAGGGAGCTCCACCGAAGCATTGATAGCAGGGCTCACATGCGCCCCAAGTCCAGTTTTGGCACGCCCCTCACACGGCGCGCGGCTTCATAGGGAGATTCAGGGAGTTTCACCGAAGGCCCTCGTGGCAGGGTTCGCATGCGTCCCGGCAAGTGTTTTGGAGCGTCGTCGTCGCTGTTTTGTTCGAAAAAGGTTAACTGAAGATTTGCGTTTTGCTCGCCGTTTTTTTGTTGGGGTTGGTGCGTGTGTGGGGTCAGTCGCGTCGCCGCTTCTCCGTGGCACTCGGCAAGTGCGCGGGAATTGAATTATTTTCGCTGGTTTTTCTGAGCGGGTGGGTTGGATCATAATATGGGGAGTGATGTGTTCTGAGCGTTCCCCGAACGTGTCGGAGCTGTGCTCCGGGCGTTCTGGCGTGGACCGCGGCGTTGCGGCAGGCTGCATTGGCCTTATGAGCCGATCGCTGGGCGGCGTTCGCCGGCGCGCTTTTGTCTATGTGGGACTCGCCAACCTGTTTAGGCTTGTCCCCTGTGGCTGTGTCAGGAGCACTCCCTTCTCTTCCGCGTGCGCTGTAAAATATTTTCGGGGTTGTCGCCGCGGGGGCCGATGTGCTTCGGGCAGGGGTGAAGGCTGACTTAATGTCCTCGGGACGTGCCGAGCTTGGGGCGTTATAGCTAGAGTTGAAGGCTGACGTCCGCACGCGCGCGGAATCCCCGCTCCGGGCCAGCCGCGGGGGGAGTTATCGCTAGCGCTTGCTCGCTACATATTGCTGCGCCGCCTTTGCCCTGCATATGTGGGTTGGCGGCGCCATCGTATCAACGTTGACATTGCGTCACCAATCGCATCTCGCAGCTTTAATTGTGCTCAGCAGTGCAGTATTTGCGCGCGGCCGGCCTCCCTCCCTTCGGTTGGCTACGCCTACGCATGCATACTCTGGCACATCCGCTCAACGGACATCCTAGCCGCGGCGCCAAGTACATGTTCTCCGAGACTCAATTTTGGGATCGTGACTAGAAAATCATGCGCCATAATACACATACCAAAAAACATGAACAGGATCGATATCATGCCCGAATCAATGGCGAATCGGCAAGTACTATAGTCAGATCCGCCCCTGTTGGTTCTGATCAATGTTGCGCCCTACGCATGGCGTTTTTTAACCCAATCATGGCGGTTCAGCCTTGCCACGACGACGGGGTGGCAGTTATAATTCCAGGGGAAGGGTGTCGAGACGTCGTGCTGCGACCCGCGACCCCCAACCAACCTCCCCGCAACCCTCGTTTGGCTGGCCATGGGCCCGTTGCGATGAAACTCGCAATAGGAATGCAAACTTGCCCGCGTGCAGCAAACATTCGTCGCATGCGGCAGTTCTGCAGTGAATTCCATAATCGCAGGTGCGGCATCCCAGCGTTCTTATGCACTCCGCGGCTGCGCGCTGAAATGGGGGTGGGGGGCGGCATGGATCTAGACCCCCTAGAGGAAACAAGGAAAAGGTGGACAAGAGGGGATTTGTGCGCGCCGGCAGATGAAGGGATGATGCTCGTGATGATGATGGTGATGATGGTGAGACTGATGATGATGAGGAATCGGAGGAAGACGGACATTGGAAGGATAAGTGTGCAAAGGAACAGGACGGAGGATGGCTGGAGAGGCGCGAGAAGGAAAACAACAGTGAGGGATGAGGGAGGAATGAGAGGGAATGGAATCAGGGATAATGGATGGGGAAGGAATGGGGTTGGGGGGAGGAGTTGATGATAAGAAAAAGGTTGGGAGGTAGGCCGGTACTTACAATGGTTGACAGGTGGCAGTGGGGAAGGGATGAGGTGAGAAAAGGTAGTAGTCTAGGAACAGTATTTGTGTTATTGGATTCAAGCGATCGGCCTGGACATGTGTGTGGGTGTGACATTGCATGCTCTTTTCGCCCTATGCGTGGCACACTGTTCACGTCCTCAGTCGCGACGGTGATGCCGACCGCAGCGCCGATGACGAGGGCCAGAAAGAAGGGGGATGGGGGGTGGGGGAAGACGCATGAAGGAGTCGGAGGGAATCTTCGGGCACATGTCCAAGCCGAGCAGCGGCGTCCAAGCCGAGTTGTACCCACGTCCAAGCCGACGTCCATGTGCCCATGTCCAGGTGGCCGTTGTCCCATGTTCAAGCCGATGTACATGTGCCCATGTCCAAGCCGATGTGCACGTGTCTATGTCCAAGCCGATGTCCATGAGCCCATGTCCGTGTCCACGCCCGCGAGGGGCCCGAGCGCCCATGTCCAAGCCGAGCTGCGGCGGCTTCCTTGCGCAGCCAGACTTCTGGCGGGAAGAGGGCGACTTCGGGCCGGGCGGCCCGCTCTCTGCCTGCCTGGACTCCTCGAAGGGCTTGGGATGCGGGAGCATTGACGAGGCGTTTGGGCTTGTCTGCAGCCTACCAAGGAATGTTTCGGGCGGGGTCAGGACAACGAGCGCTCTCAGAACGGAACGCTCTCAGAACCTCCAGGCCCGATACATCCTCCAGAGCCGCCAGGTCTCGGAGATTTTCAATTTGTCCTCGTCCAAATTGTTGACGTTTCGCGTATCCCCACCAGCGTTGCCTTCGCCGCCTGACCCTTGTCTCGTGGCCGCGACCAAAAAAGTATCCCCACCAGCGACAGCCGTTCCCCGACGCATCCACAGACACTCCTGGTGGCCAGCCGACCTTGCAATGTGCAACAGGGCCCGTTAGGCCATTAAGGAATGGAATGGCAGGATCAGTGTGCGACGCGGCCGCCCAGGGTGGCGATGGACCCTCACGGCTTGGGTCACCCTCTTCGCCCGCGGGCGACCCTGGTCTGCGTGCCCTCCAACGGTCGAATGCTGACGCCCTTCCGAGTACCCCTGGCGGCCAGTTGACCACTACAAGTGCAACACGGCCGCGGAGCTGTGCAAATGGCTCCCGCCAGTGGTCGCCAGGCCCAACATCGGGATTGCGCCCGCTCCACCCGTCGGCCTATCCAACGGGCAACGCACCGCCCTGCCGGATGGCTCGACAGTTGAGCAGACAGACCTGACGTGGATCGCCGCCCAGATCGGAGGCCGCTACTTCGAACAGGCCTTCCTCGACACGCCATCCCCCGGCAGCGGGGGGGAGGGGGGCTGCCCCCGTGGAAGCGGCGGAGGTGATGCGCGGCGCGCTTCAGGCCACTGCAAGACGCGAGGGTCGCCCCATGCACGCGCAGATGGGGGCCGACAGCTCCGCGGGCAGGTTAGTCGTCGAGGCCGCCACAAGAAGGTTAAGATCTGAGCAGACCACTGGGGCCGAAAGCCCGAACGCCCACTCCCCCACGCAGGGCGACAACCACACCAGAGCCAGGCAAGACGCCGGCCCCACCTACGTCCAAGCCTCCCCCACAGCGCCAGCCAGCAGGAGCAATCTACAAGACGCCGACTCCGAACTCAGCGTCGACGAGCAGAGGCGCAGCACAGCCTTCACCAACGAGATCAGGAGGATACGCGAGCTCGTCGCCTCCGACCCAGTGCCCGCAGGCATGACCTGGAGCAGCACCCTGGCCCCCTTTATTTGGGGCACCGCCACAGATCAGGGCCCGAGAGTATTGAGGCGCACTTTCAGAGAGACAGGGATGGACAGCAGCGTCATCGACGCCGCGGCCGCTCGATGGAGCGGACAAGCAGCGCGCTCCTACCAGGGCGCCCAGAACATCACCACGTAGAAAAATAGCAAGCGGACCTCCAGCATCCCGCACCGACGCCCCCCGCGCCAGAGGATGCATTCCCCCTGGGCTGCAGGAATTCATGATGGAATGGCTCGGCCCACGCGGCACTCTCCATAGCGGTATCCTTTCAGGCGACGGGCGGGCTGTGGAGGCCGGCGCGCGCGTGCGAGCGGACGGACAGACAGGCGGACGAGCAGGCAATGAATAGCAGGACCCTCCGCACCCACGCAGGGCAGCGTCCCTTCGGCAGAAGGATCTCCAGAGCTACTGACCCGAGTCACCATGACGAACAGCGCACCACCACTCCACGGCGCGCCGACATCAGGCAGCTGCTGGGCAGAGGGCCCACCACTAGCCCATTTGCCGCGTCCTTGCCGGCCCTGCGCCCCGACGACGGCACCAGAGACGAGCCCCTGGATCGAGCCATTTTCCTTCTCGACGCCAGACGACGAGACGACGAGCAGAACGGCGGGCGCACCACCCGCACCCCAGAAGACAGGTCTTCCATCAGCGGGGATTAGGCGCAAAGCTTGGCCCACGGCATGCTGATCGACGACAGCCCCCGAAGAGAACCTGGCAGCTGGATTTCACGGGCCATGCGGCTTTGCCTGGCCCCCCACTACCTTCCTCTGCTCCGACCCGTCCTGCAGGCGAGAGGCATGGACACAAGGCCGTGCGAGGTCATCGCCAGATGGCCTCCCCTGGCAGGGGTGCACGCCCCGGCGGACCTCGTGTTCCGGCTCAGAGCGGACGGCGACGGTCCCGACCCACTTACAAATGCAACCCTGGATAACGAGCGCATCAGGATCCTCCTCAGGAGACTCTGCGGGCCCGCGGGCCGCGCGCAGACCGAGGCCAGCAAGATGGTCCGCGTACTAATCGAAATCGAAAGCCTAGGAGAAGGCGTCGCCACGGTAGGCGCGCCCCCTGCTCCCACCCTCCCCAGGGAAGGTAGCGACCCCGTCCCTGTCCCCTCGTGGAACTTCGGAGATGACAGCCCGGCATGCCTATGCTGTAGCTAAAGAGAGAAAAGATATGAGATATGAGAAAGGAGTTGGCTCGTGAGATGAAGCTGAGTAGTACGTTCTGGGCCACGGTGCCCCGAGTTACGAGTAAGAGCGGCTGGGCATGTTACTCAGCATCGCCGAATGCAGAAGAGAGATCTCGCATGCTGGTGGCATCAGTCCGTCTTGGTGCGTACATCGTGCGAGAGAATTTCACGCCGACCGAGCGGGTCAAGCCGATCCGCTAGCGGTATCCATGAGGGCCGAGTACTTTGGCATGCTGGTCCTTGCACTACCTTTCTTTCTCAGGGATCCCCTGCGGGCACAGGTTCCACAGCGACTGCTTTAGACAGTGGCAGCTCTGCCAACCCGCAGTGTTCAGGGAAGGCGGCAGGTCCATGCTCATTCGATGCCCGAAATGTAGGACAGACGACAGGGGCGGCATCACCGTCAGACTCAGTGAGCCGACTCGCAGCACGGGTGGGGACGTGACAGACGACCCACTCGAGTTGGCGCACCTCAGCGACGGCGCCATCCCACCGCTCAGGCCTGCCATCAGACTGGTCGAACTGGCAGACGCAATCCATCAGCTCAGCCCGGAACTGGACCGCTTGCGCGCCCAACTGGTGTCCCTCAGGGGGGCCCGCGCTTACGTCGCCGTCGGAGACATGATGAACATCCACGCCCACATACAAGACAGGAGGCGCAGGCTGGGTAGCGAAGACAACGGCGTGGATGTGGACGACCCCCCCTCCGGCCCCAGATCAGGGGGAGATCAAACGGACCAGTCTGGCACCCCCGACCCAGCCCCCCCTCCAGCCGGCCCCGCCACCTCCCCCGAACAGACAGGCCAGGATCAGACAGGCCCCCCTAATCACCCACGGTCGCTGGGCTCTCCTACCAGGGCGCAACCCGCCAGACGATAAACCGAGGCTTCGAGGCCCACCCGCGTGCCCAATCTCTCTCATCGCCGCAACGGCCAGGGAAGTCGCGGCAGACCTAGTGGTGTCCAGGCGACCGTATTTAGGGCGCAGCGCAGTTGACGAAACCGAGGTCACCTGCACCCTGGCCGGTCCGAACGCGTGGGAGCAAATCAAATCCTTGGTTAGCGAGCGCTCCCTTTCCGCCAACGGCGAAATCGCCCGGGCCCCCATAATAATCCTGGCCGACACGCAGGCCCCCCAGACGGACGCCGCCTGGGCTGCAGCCTCTGCGGCAGGAGGCCCGCGTAGAGTCATGGCCCCGGGATCAGACGGAGCGCCGAGCCCGGGCGGCCCAGGCCCAGTGGAAATCACAGCCATGGCCAACGCTAGATGGGGGTACAGAACCGCCAGCAGAATCACACACCTAGTCCCAATCGGGAATCCATACAAGACTGGACGCGCAAACGCCCCGATGCAGCAGCTCATCGCAGCGCAGTTCGACATATCAGGCAGACCGGCCTATATTGTGATCCCGCCATCCATCGTGGTACACTGGGGCGCAGCCAGCGCAGATACGTCAGACGCCCTGCACATCTTGGTACCTGACAGCGGGAACGACTCCGTCGTCGCCCAGATCACCCGATGGCGAGATGAGCTCGCCAGCCTGGAAAGCTCCTGTGTCCTCGCCGACTGGACCACCACCAAGATACAGCTACCGAAAGACGAGCTCCTGCTCGTGCCAGGCCTAGAGCAGCTTTTTCACCGCGTGCTCCGCTGCAGACCAGCGCGCCCCGAGGTCGGCGCCCGAGGACTTGGGCTACCGCTGGACAACCTACACGCCGCTGCCCAAGCATCCACCATGCATCACGCGACAGCATGCACGTGGAGAATGCACGAAACCAGCAACTCCGTGCACATCCCTTTCCCGAACCCTGCGCTATGCCCGGCATGCGCAATCGCATCCGCTGCAGCCAGCGCCCTTGGACGCCGAGTAGGAATCTGCGCCGCTGGACTTCTCCTGCTCCGGATGCTCGAGAGGGCAACAGCCCCGGTGCAAAGACATCTGCGCGACGAGCTGCTTCGTGCCCCTGGGCACGGCAATCCGAATCAGGCCCTCGCCCCCCGAAGGGTCCTCCTAGACGGCGCCTGGGACGGTGGCCCATCCTTCGCGCGCGCCTGGCTGACTTGGAAGGCGGGTTTCACATGGGATGGAACCTTGTCGACATGGGCCAGCCCCGCCCAGGGGGCGCCCTCGAAGCAATCGAGGCCACCACGGGGCCAGGCTCTGTGGAACAGGTATCGACGGTGTACGCCTGGTTCCCAGATGCCTCGGACTACAGACGCATGACACAAGTCCGGATTCGCCTGGCCGCGGCTGACACGATGGCAGCCGCCTTCGTGGGAACCAGCCGAATCGCCATCGGCGCGCAAACAGCTCGAATTTTCCCAGCAACCGCCGCCAGGGACCCCATCCATCGCAGCGCCGGGGCCACCCGGGAGCACCAGGAACACGTGGACGCCCTCGCATGTGAGGCAATCAGACAGGCGCCAAGACGCGCCGTACATTCCCAGATCCTCGAAGTCACGGCAAGGGATCGCCATGGAGCACAAATCGGCGGTGCTCAGACCAGGGCAATGAGGGCCGACGCCTGGCTCCCCGGCCACAGCGCCCTCAGACTCTACTCTGCGA